CCTTGACTGCCTGATGGGAGGAAAAAAAAAAAAAAAAACAGAAGTGAGAAATGCTGAGGAACAGCTTTGGGCTGAGAAGATTATGGGTGTCTCGGGATCCCTGGTGGCGCAGTGGTTAAGAGCGACGTCTGCTAACCAAAAGCTCGGCAGTTTGAATCCACCAGCCACTCTCGGAAACCCTGTGGAGCAGTTCTACTCTGTCCTGTGGGGTCGTTGTGAGTTGGAATCCACTCGACAGCAGCAGGTTTTAGGTGCACAGCTTGACTTTGCGTGCAGCCAAGTTTTGCTTTGGCTGCTGGCATATTCAGTTTGAGTTCGTTACCAAAGCTCCAAAGCAAGAGGTTTCTCACAATAACCCCAATTTCTTGCTTCTCTAGGGAATTCTGGGAACACGGGACTTTCATTACCATAAGGAAAAATTGATGGTATCTCGGGTGAAAAAAAATTGAAAAATTGACAAGGTGGAATGTACAAAAGGTTGTGTTAAAAATCAGATGACCTCATGCTGACCAGGGGTACAACAGACAAACCCGAGAGAACGGGAAAAAAACATAGAACAAGACTGAAACTCTTAAAGTTCAGACTTACTGGTCCAGTGAAGACTAGAGGAGCCTCCAAAACTATTGCCCTGAGATACCCTTTAAACTTTGAACTGAATGAAACTACTCCCAGAGGCCACCTTTCAGCTAAACAACAGATTGGTACCTACAGTAAACAATATCACCCATGAGTACTCTGCGCCTTTAAAAAATCATCTATTTGAGACCAAACGGTCAACATGAGAAGGTAAGGAGGAGCAGTCTAGGAGGTTATAAGTCCGAATTCAGGGTGTCAGCTCCAGGGGAAGGCTTTCTCTCTCTGTCGGCTTTGGGGGAAGGTCCTTGTCATCAATCTTCCCCATGTCTAGGAGCTTCTCAGCGCAGGGACCCCAGGTCCAAAGGACACGCTGTTCTCCTGGCACTACTTTCTTGCTGGTATGAGGTCCCTCTGTCTTTCTGCTCACTTCTCTCTTTTATATCTCAAAAGAGATCGACTCAAGATACAACCTAATCTTGGAGATTGAGTCCTGCATCTTTAACATAACTGCCTCTAATTCTGTCCCATTAACATCATAGAGGTAGGATTTATGACACATAGGAAAATCACATCAGATGACAAAATGGTGGACAATCACACAATCCTGGGAATCATCGCCTAGCCAAGTTGACACACATTTTGGGGGACACAACTCAATCTATAACAGTAGGGTTTAGTGTGGCCAGAACCCAGGGACCATTGGATTTCAAAGCTTGCAATTTTCTGTTCCTTCTCCCCCCATCGTACCCCCGGCCCTGTATGAAAGTGCTATCCACCTTCTGCCCACCCACAGTTCTCTCCAGGCCTTCATGTACTTATTGTTCCAATATGTAGAGCGCTGAGCTCTGTGAGCAGAGCGCTGACTGCAGGGGTCACCTTCTCTTGTGTCTGTCTTTTGGGAGAGGTTCAACAGAGGGGAGACAACCAACTGCCCATCCACAGGGTACCACCCAAGGGACCCTCGGCCTAAGCTGGGTCCACAAGTTTCCTCCCCGTCACTGTCTTTCTCATCCTCAGTCCATTCTGCACATGGCCAGGCAGGTGTCATTGGGAAGGAGGGTAAGGGAGGTGCCCACCTCAAGCGGAGGGTCTTAGGGGACACGGCGTCCAGCAGCTGGGCCCTCTGCTCTCCCTGTTCGGTTGGTGCCTCCTGCAGCACTTAGAACTTCTCAGGTTCCCTGTGGCCTTGTCCTCCACCTAGTCATTATAGCCTGAGCCCACTCACCCCAGGAGAGCAGGGCTGGCAGGAACATCGAGTTTCCCCATTTGGGGAGCAGTATTGGCCCTAATGAGACTTCAAGAGCAAAGGAACTGTGTGCATTTAACGCCAGGTGATGGGGAAGATGTGAGCTTCTCAGCCAGGTCCTCCCAAGGCCTGGAACCCGACTCTCCTTTTCTTTTGACCCATGAACCTCCCTTGTGCTCCTCCTTAACCACTAACAGCTCAAGTCACACCATTCTCTAGACAACAGTAGTCTTGCTTTCTGCTAACAGTAACATCATCAGCTCTTAAAAAGACGCAAGGCGATTAAAACATGCTGGAGTATCTATCAGGATGGATAGGCTATTTGGTCCAAAGTCTCTAAAACAAACCGAAAAGCTCTGGTCACCTGTTCTCTTTCCTTTGACCTGATCCAGGGGTTGGGAGGAAATGGGCAGGGTACCTCATCAGGATCTTTCTGTTCTCCTTCGGCTGAGCTGTGTAACCAAACCTGGAGGTGAGAGGCAGAGGCTGTAGCTGGTGTCTTGCTCTTCAGACAGCTAGTTTAGAAAATACTCTTCTCTCCCATGAATTTGTTTTTCTTTTGGTTGATTTTTTGTTTCTCCTTTACTTCTAAGAAAATAAGATTGCACTCACTCCTGGTAGTGATTTAGCAGTTCCTTTTCGTATCAGTTTTTGTAAATTAGGAGATAATTCTAGAAGTTACTAAGGATGATGTAGCTAAGAGAACTATGTAAAATACCATAGGTATATTAGAAGAAAATAACTTTTCCCGTGGGAAAGGTTTCTCGAAGGCATGGATGCAAACATAAAATAGTTTTTAAAAATCTAAATAAAGTTTACCTTAAAATATTTTATTCAAAAAGAATTACAAGAGGAAAGGGAATGTGAGGCTAAATGTCTCAACGAACAGCTGCCTCCCCTGTCGTGAGAGTAGAACTGGATGGTGCCCAGCTACCATTACTGAACGGCTGATCAAAGATTCTATAGAAGAATCCCGATCAAAGGAGGGAATATGCAGAACAGAATTTCAAATTCTCATGGAATCCAGATTTTCTGGAGCCATGGAGGCCAGATGAAACCCTGAAACTATTGCCCTGAGATAATCTTTAAACCTTAAACCAAAAATATCCCCTGAAGTCTTCTTAAAACCAAACAATAATTTAGCTTAACTAGTAAAGGATGTTTGCCTTGAGCACTGTACTCTTTTAAGAACTATCTGTATGGGATCAAAGTGACAACAGCAACTCGAAAGGTTAGATAGGAACCTTAGGGGGCCGTGAGTTTATGCTAATGAGGGAGAACAACCCAAGAGAAGGAGAATGAGCATGGGTGCACTACTCGAAGAATGTCATCAATGTCACTGAACTGTACAGATAGAAATTGTTGAATTGGTCTATATGCTCAATAACAACAAAAATAAAATAAATTATTTAAAAAAATCAGATGACTTGAAATCTATAGAGACAGAAAGTAGATTAGTGGTTGCCTAGAGCTGGGGGGCTGAGGGGGTACAAGGTGATGGCTAAAGGGTATGGCCTGTTTCTCAAGGTGATGAAAATGTTCCAAAATTGACTGTGGTGATGGTTGCACAGCTCTGCGAATATACTAAAAACCACTGAGTTGTACACTTTAACTGGAGGAATCACATGCTATATGAATTACATCTCATTAAACCGAAACAAAACCAAACCCATTGCCGTCAAGTGGATTCCAACTCATGGCAACCGTACAGGACAGAGTAGAGCCACCGTGTAGGGTTTCCAAGGCTATAACCTTTATGAAAGCAGACTGTCATATCTTTTTCTCTCGGAGCAGCTGGTGGGTTCAAACCACCACCCTTTCAGTTAGCAGCCGAGCACTTAACCACCACACAAGCAGAGCTCTTTAAAATGATTTTTAAAAATCTGATCACTTTTTTTGGCGTGGGAATGTCTCCCACAGGTAATTTGCTGTATACTTTCAACATCAAGCCCAGGGCGGGATTGGCTGACATGGCACAGTATATGTCTCAAGAGGCAGGGATCGAAGCTGAGGACCGTCCCAGCACCTGCCTCAGACCTGGGCTCCCTAACTGTGTGTCCTGGGATGGCAGGTCCTTCTCTGGACTCAGTTTCACCACTTGCAAAATGAGTGGTCAGCCTGGACATGCTCCAAGCTAATGGTCCCAGTTGACGTGAGAAGAGCCCAAGGGTGATGTGGACTTAGGACAATGCCAGAGGCAGAACTATCCTTGCTTAAAGCCCTCTCCAGAAGGATCCACAGGAGAACCAGAGTCGGCTACGAGCAAACGCAAACGGGAGACCGGCCACAGCCATGGGCACAAGCTGGCTGTTGAGGAAAAGGGGTACCTACTCCAGGTAACGTCCCCAGTCTAGGGAGCTGGGACGCAACTTTTAGAAGGAAGGACAGGAACTCACCACCCATTGGCCTCTTTATCTGAGAGGCTGTTTGGGGAGGATGCACCAAGGAACGTACAAGAAGTCCCAGAAGAGATGGAATTTGGCCTAGCATGAATTCTTTCATGTAGGGCAGTCGGCACTGCCCAGAAGAACTTTCCGAGATGACGAAAATGTTGTGTATTGGCACTGTCCAGTATGACAGCCGTGGGCTATTGAGCCCTTGAACAGTGGCCAGGGCAACTGAGGAAGTGAATTCAAAATTTTATTCAATTTTAACTAATTTAAACAAAGAGCCACATATGGCTAGTGGATGCCATACTGGACACTGTATACCAGGGAGAGAATAATTCCGGGGTAAAAAGCCTGAGGTTCCGTGTCTTACCCACAGCTGGCTCTACCTTGGCAATTGCTCCCCCCAGCTCCCCGCCACTTCTGGGCCTTTCTGGGAGTCAAAGGCTCCCCGGAGCTGCTTCCACACAGCCTCCCGGAGAAGGAGCTGGGGTAGGGGAGGAGAAAGACATCGTTTGATACAGTGGGAAGATGACTGGATGGCATTCTGGTGCAATAAAAACAGAAAGAACGTCTGCTTTCAGGAAGGCTGTTTACTCTGGGCGTTTTGAGGTACACTCCCGAGGCCGGAGGGGATGCCGTGGCGGAGGGAGGGGACAGACGGGAGGGCAGAGCTGAGGGCACTGGAGTAGGGCGGGCCGGGGTAGCCACTGCCGGCCTTGGCTGCGAGCGTGCCCCAGCCTGGCGGAGACGGACTGGGGAGCCGGCGGGATCTGGCCGGATCGGCTGAGCTAGTACAGGGTCTCCCGGGCGTGCGTCCTCAGGTGGCGCAGCAGGTGGGAGTTGCGGCTGAAGCCTCGCCCGCACTGCGGGCAGGAGTAGGGTCTGGCCCCGCTGTGCACCAGCATGTGCCGCAGCAGGTTGCAGCTTCGGCTGAAGCTCTTGCCGCACTCCACGCACTCCTGGGGGGCCTCGGCCGGCGGTGCCCCGGACGCCGCCTCCTCCCCGGCCCCCGTGTGGGTGGCCAGGTGCCGCTGCAGGTGGGCGTTGCGCCGGAAGCTCCGGCCGCACGTAGGGCAGCCGTAGGGCCGCTCGCCCGTGTGGCTGCGCCGGTGGCGGGTGAGGTTGGAGCTGTTGCGGAAGCGGTGACCACAGGTGTCGCAGGCGTGGGGCCTCTCCCCGGTGTGGATGCGCCGGTGGCGGGCCAGGTGCGCGCTCTGGCTGAAGCGCTCGCCGCACTCGCTGCAGCAGCAGGGCCTCTCCCCCGTGTGGCTGCGCCGGTGGCGCGTGAGGTCCTGCGTCTGGCTGAAGCTCTTGCCGCACTGGGCGCAGTGGTGGGGCCGGAGGCCGCCGTGGGTCAGCAGGTGGCGGGCCAGGCCGGCGCGCCGCACGAAGCACTTCCCGCACTGCGGGCAGGCGTAAGGCTTCTCGCCCGTGTGCACTCGCTGGTGGCTGGCCAGCTGGGAGCTCTGGCTGAAGCTGCGGCCGCAGTCCTGGCAGGAGAAGGGCCGCTCGCCTGTGTGCACGCGCCGGTGGGCCGCCAGGTGCTCGCTGCGCCGGAAAGCCTTGCCGCAGACGTCGCACACATAGGACCTGCGCTCGGGGACCGGGCGGAGGCTGCCGGCACACTCGGTGCACTGGTGACCCTTGTCCTTGGCGTGGATGCGCAGGTGGCGCTTGAGGCTGGAGCGGCGCTGGAAGCCTTGGCCGCAATGCGAGCACAGGACGGTCGGCTCGGGCGCCGGTGCCTCTGTCTTGGGCTTCTCGGGGGCGCACGGCGGCTTCTGGTCCTGGTCCTGGTCCTGGTCCTGGGCGTGCGCCAGCAGGTGCTTCAGAAGGCTCGCCCGCCGCTGGAAGCCCTGGCCGCACTCAGCACACAGGAAGGCGGGCTCCGAATGCGTCTGCAGGTGCTTGCTCAGGTGCGAGCTCTGGCGGAAGCGGTGGCCGCACAGGTGGCAGGCGTGTGGGCGCTCATCCGTGTGCGTGCGCATGTGCAGCTTGAGGATGGAGCTGCGGCCGAAGCTCTTGCCACAGCACAGGCACAGGAAGGTGCGCCCCCCAGCGTGCGAGCGCAGGTGATGCGCCTCCAGGCGGGACAGGTGTGTGAAGCTCACCCCGCACTCGGTGCAGATGAGCCCCTCGGCGGCCGCCGGGACCTCCACAACCTCAGCCCTGTCAGGAGGAGACTCTCCGCCACCAGTGCCACCCACCCCAGGACCCTGACTGGGCTTCTGCGCGTGGTGATCTTCTGCCTCCCCGGGACTATTTGCCTGCGACTCCCTTGAGATGGCCGACAACCAGGCAGCCCCTTTGGGCTCTTCCAGTTTGATTTCCTCCTTATTTGGAGTTCTGCTTCCAAATCCTAGGGCAGAAGCAGAAAAAAAGGATAAGCAGGCTTATTCAGAGGGGCTCCCAGGAATGGCCAAAACTTCACTGGCCTGGGTGGGAAGAAACCCAGGGTCCTGCAAAGCCGTGGGTGGGCAGAGGGTGGGGGTGAAGGCAGGGTGCCCCTTTTCTTGATGGCCTATTTTTTTTTTTTCTTTTTGTGAAACACGTATAACAACATATTTGCCTTCTCAACCATTTCCAAGTGGACAATTCCGTGGCATTCATGACGTTCACCATGCTGGGCAACCATCACCACCATCTAGTTCCATAATTTTTTCATCCTCCCAAATGGAACCCTGCACCCCTGAAGCAGACACTCCCTGGATCAACTGTTAAAAGCTCAGAGAAAACGGTTGCTAATTAGACCAGACACAGTAAATCGGAAAAATAAATAAATAAATAAATAAATCAAAAAAGGCCAAAAGGGGCAGAGTCTGGAGCTTCAGAGACCACTCCCAACAGCTGAGGAAGGAGCCTTCAGTGGCTGTAAACCGGGAAGGACTTCTTACCCAGAGGGTGCACAGGCCAGGCCGTCTTTGCCGGGACATCCTCAAAGGTCAAGGACTCCTGTAACCAGAGACAAGGCAGAGACCCTCGGTGAGTGAGGAATGGGGCCCTGGGGGGTGTGTGTTGGGCCAGAAGGGGATGAAGAACTCTCTAGGTTTCAATTAAGGAAGATAAGGATTCGCTAAAACTGCAGAGGCTGAGAAAGTCCCGAACTGTGGGAACTACCTGGGGTGAGGGAACCAGCCCAGCTCACCAACACAGCTGCCAGCTCCTGATCTTGGGAGTTCTCCGGCCACAGCGTGGGGCCCTGGGGAGCTGCCAGTGTGGGGGGACAAAGAAAGAGCCATCAGAAGCCACCCTTGCCCTCCACGTGGCTGCAGGGAGAGATACCCCATTGTCACAGCCCCGTGAGAGACATACTGGCCATCCCATCCCGGCCAACTAGGAGGCTGCCCACTTGTCACACCACCCACCTCCCAGCTCCCACCCGCACGGCCGGCTCTCCACCCTCCTGGGCTCCAGTGCCTCACCGCTTTCGGGATCGGGGCTCTGCGGCTGCTTTAGACTTGGGCTAAGTATCCAGGCCCCCGGCTCAGCAGGCTTGGCAGCCCCTGGCGGGGACCGGGATAGTTCCTTCAATGGCCCCGGGGCTGGAGGCTCTTCTGAAGGTACTTCCTCTTTGAGGGTGTGGCTGGGTACCTGGGAAGGCCCCCCTTGTTCTTCCAAGGTGACATCTGCACTGGAGTGATTCTTGCCGGCATTAAAGCTAAAATCCTGTGAAATACACATGCAGGGTAGACATGTGTTCATTCCTACTGACTCCAAAGGGGAAGCGGACAGAGGCCAGGTGAGTCAGGCTGGGAAGGAGTTAGGAGGTTAAGAAGCAATTGGTGGATGGACAAAGGTGGGGTTTCCACAGACTTCTTTTTCTCTTTCTTTCTTTCTTTTTTTCCCCACAGGCAAGTTTTATTTTATTTTTTTTAGGGGGGGTTGTACCTAAGCAGCCTCAGCAGCTGCCCTTTCATTTCGTTGTTGTTGTAAATATATCCATCACACAACATTGGTCAATTCAGCTTTTTACAGGCGCACAACTCACTGACAGCGATAACGTTAATTGGCTGTGCAGCCCTTACCCTTCATCAGTGTGACTTTCCTATCACCATAAACAGAAAGGTTTTCGTGAACTTTTAAGAACTATACAATCCTTAGTTTATGTCAGTGTTTCAGAGAATAAAAACAGCAGAAGGAAAGCTATACAACTCATTTTATAAAGTTAATTTTGATTTCAAAATCTGGCCAGAGCAGTAGAGGAAAAGAAAATCGCAGCTCCGCCACACAGAAGCATACGTGAAAAAACTCGAAACAAAATATTGGCAGACTAAATCCGGTGGCAAATTTTCCTCAAAATCATGATTAATGGGTCTTATGCCAAGAATTCAAGTATGAGTCGAAGTCAGAAAAACTAGTAATTAACATGCTGTATTAGTAGATAAGAAAAGTCAGACGATCGTTTCTATGAAAACAAACAAAAACGGTTGCTGTCAGGTTGACCTCGACTCATGCTGAGCTCGCGTGTGTCAGAGCAGAACTGGGCTCCACGGGGTTTTCAGTGGCTGATTTTTCTGAAGTAGATCACCAGGCCTTTCTTCCGAGGTGCCTCTGGGGCGGATTTGAACCCCCAGCTTTTCATTCTGCAGCCAAGTTATTAGCCATTGGCACCACCCAGAGACTCTGATCACTTCTATAGATTCAGAGGAAAAGAAGCATTCGAGGCCATTCAACTCTCAAGTGTGCTTTTTAAAAAATTCTTAGTGAACTAGGAGTAGAAGGGAATTTACTTAATATGTTAAAGAATATAAAAAATTCTGCAGGCTTAGGGGGCGGTGAGTTTATGTTAACGGGGGAGGAACAACTAGGAAGAGGAGGGTGAGAACGGTTGCACAACTCAAAGAATGTAATCAGTGTCACTGAACTGTACGTGCAGAAACTGTTGAAATGGTGTATGTTCTGCTGTGTATATGCTCAACAACAAAAATAAATTATTAAAAACAAAAAGAAAAAAATCTGCAGCAAGCATCATACTGAGAAAATTTTTCGATGTTGAAACATGCCACAGCTGCGTATCTATGTTTCTTCATGGGGCAGTGAAGTGTCTGTGTCCCCATCTGCCTGCCTGCCCACCCCCCTCTTACCAATGGTCCCGCGCTGCTGGCCTCCATCCTGATGCCCTCCAGCAGCAGCACCACCTCCTCCCCGTCCCTGAGCTGCTGCCCCTGCAGCCGGCCCAGGAGGTGTGGAGGCAGCACGCTCAGGAACTGCTCGAGCACCAGCAGCTCCAGGATCTGCTTCTTGGTGTGCAGGGCCGGCCGCAGCCAGTGGCCGCAGAGCTCGCGGAGCCGGCTCAGGGACGCCCGCGGCCCCATGTCCTCCTGGTACTGGAAGCATCTGAAGAGCTGGTGGGCCACCTCAGGCCGCAGCCTGGTCTCTGGGTGCTCGGGGTCCTGCTGGCCAGCGGCCTCTTCCTCCTCTAGTTTGACTACTCCGAGCTGCTCTTGCTCCTGGGCAGCTGCACCAGGTTCTGCAAGCATCCTTGACCTCAGGGACGCCTCGCGGCAGCTGGCTCCACTCTCAGTGCTCTCTCCTCCCACACCTGCAGAGCTGAAGACCCTGGGTTAGGATCTGGTCCAGAGGAGCTGACACCCACCTGACATCTGCTTCCAGGGTGACCTCATGTGTGTCAGAGTAGGACTGTGCTCCACGGGGTTTGTCAATGGCTGACTTTTTGGAAGTAGCTCGCCAAGCCTTTCTTCTGAGGCGCCTCTAGGTGGACTTGAACCTCCAACCTTTCAGTTAGCAGCTGAGTGCGTTAACTGTTTGCACGACCCAGGGACTCCAATCAATGTTAAGATGCCTCCCAAGGAAATGGTTAGTGCTGCTCATGGATAATGGGTCACCAAGGCAGGAGAACCCCAACCTTCAGCTTGACCAAAGTACCAAAAAGCAGAGAAAACTGATAATATTATTGCCCTCTCCTGCAGCATTTAGAAGTTCATCACATTACCCCAGTGATTAAACATCCCTGAGAAGAACAGCTTGACTGTCCTTGCCCCCTGTTGGGGTACAATGTGGAGCACACAGCACCATCGAGGATGGATTCTTGTCAAAAATGTTTAATCTCAATCTGATTCAGCTTCTAGACCCAGTTTCCAGCTTAAAGGATATTACAAGGATTGTCACTTTGAGGACTAAAGCGCATCTGACCAAAGCTATGGTATTTTCAATTTGCCTTGTATACATGCAAAAGCTAGAATGAATAAGGAAGACCAAAGAAGAATTGATGCCTTTGAATTATGATGCTGGTGAAGAGTATTAAATATACCATGGACTGCCAGAAAAATGAACAAATCTGTCTTGGAAGAAGTACAGCCAGAATGCTCCTTAGAAGCAAGGATGGTGAGACCTCCCTTCATGTACTTTGGACTTGTTGATAGGAGGGACTCCCTGGAGAAGGACATCGTGCTTGGTAAAGTATAGGGTCAGAGTAAAAGAGGAAGACCCTCAACGAGATAGATTGACACAGTGGCTGCAACAGTGGGCTCAAACACAGCAATGATTGTGAGGATGGTGCAGGACTGGACAGTGTTTCGTTCTGTTGTACATAGGGTGGCTATGAGCTGGAACTGACTCGACAGCACCTAACGACAACACAGGGAATAAGGAACAAATCAAACATCGCTCAAGAAAACAACTGAACAAATCCCCCAAGATAGAACATTCTGGAAACAACTGGCCAGGGTTTCTTCAATGAATCTATGTCATATGACAAATTAGTGCCTGTAGGGAGTGTTGTTCTAGAGAAGACTAAAGGGACATCACAATCAAAAGTGGGAACCTTACTAATCTCTGAGGTCACCTTGTAGCTAAATAACAAATTGGCTCAAAAAAAAAAAAAAGAATATCACCTGTAAGTACTGTGCTCCTTTAAAAAAAATCATCTACATGGAAGCCTGGTGGCATAGTTGTTAAGAGCTTGGCTGCTAACCAGAAAGTGGGCAGTTTGAATCCACCAGCTACTCCTTGAAAACCACATGGAGTGGTTCTACTCTGTCCTATAGGGTCGCTATGAGTCGGAATCCACTCAATGGCAACAGGTTTGGTTTTTATTTTTTTGGCCATGAGACCAAATGGTCCACAATCACAGTATTCATTTTTAAACTAATACATTAATAAAAGGGGAAGAACAGCAATTTAAGTGGGCCAAATACGTACTTGAAAGATTTTTTTTAAGTCAAAACTAGAAAAGGCAACTCACAGAATGGGAGAAAATATTTGCACATCATGTATCTGATAAGTGGAGCCCTGGTGGCGCAGTAGTTAAGAGCTATATGGCTGCTAACCAAAAAGTTAGCAGTTCGAATCCACTCCTTGGAAACCCTATGGGGCAGTTTTACTCTGTCCTGTTGGGTCGCTATGAGTCAAAATCGACTCAAGGGCAATGGGTTTGGTTATAGCTGATAAAGGACTTGTATCTAGAATATATAAAGAACACTTACAACTCAATAATAAAAAGACAAACAACCTAGTTAAAAAATAGGGAAAGGATCTGAATAGACATTTCTCCAGAGAAGATATACAAATGGCCAATAAGCACACGAAAAGATGCTCAGCATGGTTAATCATCAGGGAAATGCAAATCAAAATCACAATGAGATACCACTTCATACACACTAGGATGGCTAGAATGAAAACAACCGGTAATAACAAGTGTTGTTGGAGGATGTGGAGAAATTCGAACCCTCATACACAGCTGGTGGGAATGTAAAATGGTGCCGCTGCTTGGGAAAGCAGAGAGATACCATGTTGTTGTTAGGTGCTGCCAAGCTGCTTCCAACTCATAATGACCCTATGTGCAACGGAACGAAACACAGCCCGGTCCTGCACCATTATGCTTGAACCCATTGTTGCAGCCACTGTGTCAATCCATCTCATTGAGGGTCTTCGTCTTTTTCACTGACCTCCTACTCTACCAAGCATGATGTCCTTCCCAGGGATTGGTCCCTCCTGATAACATGTCCAAAGTACATGAGATGAGGTCTTGCCATCCTCGTCTCTAAGGAGCGTTCTGGCTGTACTTCTTCCGAGACAGATTTGTTTGTTCTTCTGGCGATCAATATTCTTTGCCAACACTATGTGACCCAGCAATTGCATCCTAGGTATTTTCAAGAGATGTCCACAAAAACTTGAGCATGATTGTTCTTAGCAGCATTATTCATAACAGCCAAAAAGTGGAAACAACCCAAATGTCCATCAACTGATGCATAGATAAACAAAATATGATCTCTCCATACAATGGAATATTATTTGCCATAAAAAGGAGTGAAGTGCTGATTTATGCTACCACATGGATGAACCTTGAAAACATTATGCCAAGTGAAAGAAGGCAGACACAAAATGCCACATATTGTATGATGACCCCATCTATATGAAATATCCAGAACAGGCAAATCTATAGACAGAAAATAGATTAGTGGTTGCCCAGAGATAGGGGAGCAGGAGAAAGAATGAGGCGTGACTGCTAATGGGTACTGGGTTTCTTTCCAGGTTGATGAAAATGTTTCAAAATTGGTTATAGTGATGGTTGCACAACTCAATATACTGAAAACCATTGAATTGCACACTTTTAAAAAGGCGAATTGTAAGGTATGTGCTGTTGAAAAAAAAAAAAAAAAAGGAAACTAGAGCAAGCCCAATTTATTTTTCAAACCCCTACTAAATTGTTAGGACATACATAATTAGGTTGTTTGAACATAACTACTTAATAAACAGAACTCTTGGGCATTTCCTTTGACCTAGGGGCGCCATGACAGAATTCCAGAGACACTAGGCGCTGAGAACCCGGAACATTTGGAAACCCCTGCTGTAAGGCATGGACCTCCCTCGCCGTCCACTGCTGTAAGGCATGGACCTCCCTCGCCGTCCACCGTTAGCCTGCACTCTTATCTCTACCTGAACCCGTTCTTCCTCTTTTCTTCTAGGATCAAGAAAAAAAACTATCTCCTTTCAAAATACACTCCACCACGCTCTTGTAATAAGGCCCACCCGTCTCCTCCAAGACACCCTCCTCCATCAGTGATGCACCCTGTCTCCTGGGCAGACGCCCACATTCCAAGGCCTCCCTCCGTGAAGTATAAACACGCTGAGCAAGGAATGTCAGCGGCACAGAGGAACCGTGGTCAGTTCCGCCTAAGGGTTTGGCAACGTGCTGGTGGTTGTCGAACAGCATTGCTCTCTTGCCATGCCAGGACTTTCTCCAGTTAAAAACAAAACACCTTTATCTACTGCCCACTCCCTCCTGTCCCCCGCCTTAAAAGACCCACAGCTGTCTCCCACCCCCTTGGAGAAATATAATTTCATGTGTGCTAATGTTTGAATTGTCTTCACCTCTAGGGATGGGACTGAAATGTGAGTTCCAGACCATGTTAATGAAGGAAAAAAAGTAGGAAGAAAATAAGAGAATCAGTTGTCCCAAGACTGTGACATTCTGTCCCTCACAGCTACAGAACCAGTTGAGTTATTGCTTAGAGTATCTTAGAACTGAACCCAAAACAGGACACTTTCCTTTTGAGGCTAGATCCTGTGTTAGGTTTGTTTTTAATTGTGAAGCTCCTCCAGTTAGATGGAAAAGGACAGCTTATCCAAGCAGCCCGATAATCATTGTTGTTTTTATTGTTTTAGAGATTAGAGCAAGGATGTTCAAGCTTAATAACATCAGTGACAATTTCTGACTCTTTATATCTAAGACACTTAAACAGGAAAGAGAGAAAAGGGGGTTGCAAGAGCTGGTGTACATGCTCTAAGTAAAGAAGAAATTAACATGTCGCTTATACATGATTGGAGGTACTTGGTTACTCTTTGCAGAGCCTCGTCAGCATCACTGGGCTGTTGAGAAGCAGCCAGTAAAGCCGGATGATTTCCACCATAGACTGCCGTGAGGTAGTAGTTGGGGGCTTTGACAGTAAGATGCAATAATTTGTTCATTTAAAATTTCATTTAAGAATTGAGAATATAAAAATACAATTTATGATGTTAGATGGATCTAGTTTGGGATGGAGTAGAGAGTATTCTCTGAAGCACTATCTTAGAAGGAGAATGTTCTGTTATCTACCCAGTTGGACTATGAGTTTATTGAGAAGAGGAACCATTATTTTCACTCTTTCAAACTATAAGCATCTCCTAGGATATTGCTAAGCATGCATAAATGCCCAACACATACTGAATTAAGTCGCTACTTTATTTCTCTTCGATCTTCCTCATATTTTTTCCTTCCCTTTTCCTGGTGTTTCCATTGCCACATGCTTCCCTACTGAGCTGCGGTACTCGTAGTTCCTCACATGGGTCACACCTGTTTTGTGCCTTTGCATAAACTAGGTCATCGCGGAGGATAGAACTGCCTCGTCCTATAAGTCTTGAAAGTCTCCTCTGCCTGGTTCACTCTTTACTGTGCCTACTCATCCCCTGGGTTTCCGCTAAGGCTATTTTTTCAGAGAGGCTTTCCCTGACAACCCAAATCTAATGTATGTCACTCTAT